TCGTTCTCGAGCAACCTAATGAAGAAGTCCTGCCTGGCCTCGGCAAGCGAGTACGCCGGAATGCGTTTCGCGGAGCACTAGCTTGAGCCCATGCTCGCGCCCCCCTCGGTTGTGCCCACTTCCTTTGGTAACTGCCATGGGTATAAACAGTTTCTGGGCTTCCAATGGAGGGGCAGCCGCGAACGGGTTCACGGGCCGGGATCCGCACTCGTGGCTGGCCTCGCCGCCCTTGTTGGTATCAAGTCGCCGCGCGCCTTTGGTGGCCTTGCCGGCAACGGCCCAACGCTCCTCTCTTCCCCCTGGGCCCATGACGCGAAACCTGGATTGAGCTCGCCCCCTTATGCGTCGCCCCAAGCGCGCGCTTGACACTCTTCGCGATGGGCTGCGCATATGGCATCTATCTCGGGCAACGGGCCGCGCCTCATCCACGGCCCCCGCATGCCGCGCGCGCCCCGGGAGGTCGCGACCGCCCCCGGTGTCGGGGCGCTCCGCCGATTCACTGGGGAGGTTGGATGTATCGGGTAGCGCGGCAAGTGGATTTGGTGGCTGCTTTGCGCGCTCCTACTCTGAGTTATCCCCTCCACCCCCCTCTCCATTCGCACTGGCCCCCCTGTCCGCGAGGTGCCTGGCCGACGTGCGTGTCCCAAGTGCTCCCTCGTAGGCGCGCGCTCCACGTTGGCCCTGAATGCCCTGGGGCATGAAACGCGGCGCGCCATGGCCCCTCCTAGCCCAGGTCAACGCGGGCCCATTCCCATGCTCGTTCGTCCTGCGCCCGATCCCATTGATTTCTATGATTTCGCCCGGTTAGATCCCATTGGCCTCGAGATCACAAGTCCTGAAAGAGCGCCCCATTCGGTCATCAGTCAGAACCTGGCCAACTACGCCTTGAAGTGCAGCTCGACAGAGTCGGTCCGGATATACCTCTGATCCTTTGCTTGGCCTCCTCTGGATAACTCGATGCGTCTGAGCTGACCTTGACGTTTCTTGCTGCGGGCCATGCCGAGGTGGGGGCCGTGGGTCATGGGCCGCATGGGCTTCTTCGCGGGCATCTCCTCGCCTTTTGCCGCCTGTTGGGAGTCAAGTCGGCACAAATCGCAAGCGCACGTCTGCGCGCCTTCGCTCTCTAACATTCTCTTGGCCGGCGATGCGGGGCAGCTTGAGGTCCCCGCGGGTTGTTAACAGAGAGCGTATAATCAGTTGTCACTCTAGATTCCGCGAGCTTCTCGCGGGCTTGAGGCTCCGAGCCCCGTGGTCAAACATGTCCCTCGCCTTCTCTGGCCCCGAGCGTTTCGCGTTGAAGGCGCGCGGCTTGCTGAAGGCTGCGCGCGTGGGTCTTTCGATTAACAGCGAGGACGCCCGGTTCTTGATGCCATTTTTTCAATATCGCACTGAGTGCCGCGCATTCGATATCCCAAGGGTTACCGTGTTCATCGCGCATAATTAACTCCATGACCCACTTAGGCATGAACTCCATTTTCCCTGCCACGCCAGCAACCCGCGCCAGTGTGTAGTTATCGGAAACATGTGAACGTACGTCGCCTTGGCCGTTGCCGCGTGCCGTCGCTGCCCTCATGATTCCAATGGCCTTTGCATGACATGTAAATCGGCATTGAAGAACCACGCTGCAAGCTCGGTGCCGAAGCCCATCATGTGTAAACCAGTGCGTATTTCTTCCGTGCTCATGTTATCCTGTCGTTCGTCTGCATGCTTGGCCTTATTTCTATTCGCGTCATCGCCGTCTGCATCCGCGCTAACCTCGACCTCAGGGCCCTCGCCCATGATCTCCCCATCCGCTTCTTCCTCCATAACTTCTTCGGCCCTCTCATGATCGCCAGGTTCCTTTGCCTTTCTCTTAGCCGCCGCTGGCCTCGGTGGAGTAAGGTCGGCTGGGCGAGCGTCGTCATCGCCTCTAGTGACAACGCGGCGCTCGACCCATCCCGTTTAAGGTCCCCGTAGCTTTCTTTCACCTCTGTCTCTTCAATCGTCTCTCGCGCCCCCCATCTCACTGGGTCGTGATAGCATCTATTGCACCAGAAAAAAATCAAAGGATGGCATGACAATTAGCGATGTGGATATTGAGATCGATTGTGAGATCGGTCGTGGATTCGATAGCGAGGACGATTGCAAGGTCAACCGCCCCCTTCAAATACCAGCACCCTACAAGCTTGTCCTTTAGGCAAGAGCAACGTGTTGCAAAGGAACTGCCCCGTATCCTTCTGGCGAACCGTAAACATATGATGATATACGATCATACACCATGCACGTTTGGTCAAACACTTCGAAGACGTCTTGAGCGAGAACCCCATGTTGAGAAGGATTCCCCCTCCAGCCGTGGAGCTATCGCACATTGCAGTAGGTGGATAATCAAGTTCCATGTCTTTACATAACGGAGTCTCAAGCGATATCCCAACTCAGAAAATGATTTGACCTACGTCATTGTGACGGTTGCAACCTTTCAAGGGGAGTGCGCGCGGGGCTGAAGTGAGGAATCCATCTTGAACAAGAGCCACCCTCTATCCTGGTAGCTGGTGCAACATGTTCGCACACATGCGCGCGGGGCTAACGCGCTGATCCAATTTTGGAAAGGAGCCACCCTCCATCCTTGTAGCTGCTGCAAACCTTTTAAAACACGCGCGCGCGGATCTTATGCGTGAGCGCGATTTTGAAAAAGAGCCGCCCACCATCCTGTGCGAATTTCAACTTCAGGGTCGCTGGTGGGGAGGAGCCGAAACAACCGGCACGCCCTGTTGACACGTCTACACGGTGATACAGCGACGAAGCGGATGCCTTCACGGGTGCGACAGGGCAGAGATAGAGACGGAAGAGGGATGGAGGAGGAGGAGGAGGAGGAGGACGAGGAGGAGGAGGAGGAGGAGGGGGAAAAACTCTCCGACAGGAGCCTCTCGGGACCATGGTGAGCTCCTCCATTCGATTTCCTTACACATAACTCCTCCCCGTCGTGCCCCAAAGTTGGTCGAAACTGCGGGCTGGGTGTTTCGCCGGAGAACTGTTCACAACATATATCCTGATGTTTGAAACTTGCAACTGTTTCACTGATGGAAGGCGAATGGTTTTCAACATCTGGGTCTCGACTTAGCGCTGCGCGCATTCGCCTTAAAAGTTTGCAAAAGCTTCACGGGTGGAGGGTGGCTGGCTCTCAAAATGTTGCTCTCGTATAAACGCCGCGCACATCCGTTTTAATAACTTACAGCCGTTTCAAACACTTCTCATGGCCAACATCACAAGAACTGTGCTTTGACACGATGTCGGACAGCCAGGGCGCGACAGTTGCGTTGCTTCGTGGTGTTGAAGTCCCAGAATGGCGTTCTTGCGCGATTCAGGACCGTCAAGACGCGAAAGTAACGGTGATTCACGGCGTAAGTCCCAGGAGTGGGGTGCTGGCACAGTTCATGATTTTCCAACGTTTGTCTTCCAACAGGGCACTTCCCCCAGTGAAATGAATCCTTGTAGGGGCCTATGCACAGGCAACTTGGAGGGAGGGTTTGCTGCAACATCGTTGATGGGTCTTGGGTTTGCACTGGTCCTGCTTCTCCTTCTCCTCCTCCTCCTCCTCCTCCTCCTCATATCCGACGTCGCAAAAACATTGCAACATGGAAAACAATCGCGACCGGAGCACCGGACCCCATCTTTCTGCGTCAGAAACGAGCAGAAGCGCTCTGTCATGGTCCTGGAGCCCGAAAGCGAACGAAAACTCTCGTTGTGGAAAAACTGCAACGCCAGGATCTCAGGGTCCTCCTCCTCCTTCTCCTCCTCCTCCCCGCCTGCTTTGCCGCACTCCCGCCCCGCGAGGGCCCGATGCTGGCAGGGCCTGCCTCCAGGCCCCCGCGCCGACAAAGGGCGGCGGCGGGCGCCTTTGGGCGGCCCTGGGCGCCCTCCCCGCACGGTGGGCGCCCTCGCTCTCCGTGCGCAGGCTCGCGGCCCCCGCTCCCTGGGCAGTGTCGGGGGGGACGGAAGGGTGGGATGATAAAAGGGGGGTTAGCGAATCAGCTCCCGTACACGTCGTTCATTTCGAGTCGTGCTCACTTCTAATTGTGTTCGTTTCTAATTGTTCCTGGCCCCCTAGTTGCCAGGAAGAGGCCCAGGATAAAACAATTAGAAATGAAATGATCTTGCCCCCAAAAAATTGAAGAACCTTCGAATACTTAGAAATGAACAGTATGTAGGATAGTAAAGGGGGGGTTAGCGAATCAGCTCACGTAGCTGAATTCCTGGCGCCGCCTAGCGCCAATGTGTCGAGTAGAGGCGCCAGGCGGCGGGGCGGAAACCAGCTGCACTCATCGCACACCCCCTTTCCCAACCCTGCGTGCCCTTTCGTCCGGCCCGACCAAGGGGGGGGGTCACCACCGTGGGGGGGCCGGTAATTCCTGCAGGAAACGGACCCCCCAGAACTCCAGGCGAAGTGAGGACAGGGACAACATCGGAACAGGACAAGTCGGGGATCTCTGAGGTCAGGCGGTTCTGGAGAATGTATCGGGTGCCGCGGCCTCCTCAGAGCGCTCCAGATCGCTCTGAAGGATTTATCCCTGTCCTAGCCTCGCCCGGCGACTCCCCAAACCTCCTCGATATTCGACCTCCGATCCTCTTCGAACCTGGGTCACCAGGAGGCGGCGGTGGCATCCCCAGTGGTGACCCTCCTCGGCACTGAGCAGCCTCCGCTCGGAGGCTGGGGGGCGGGCGCGCTTCCGCGCCAAGGTGAGCAACGCAGGAGAAGAAGGGGCCTCTGCGCACGACGACAACAGCGGCCTCGCGCAGTGGCCCGCGCGGAGGACGCCGACGCGGCACGGCCCGCGTGGAAGAAGTGACGAACAAGCGCGCAACCTTCTACGGGCAACTTGCGCGCGCACATCCGCGCGGTCGACACCCCCTTCCTGCGCCGCCCGTCGGGTCGGACGACAGGGTGGGTTCGTTAGCACCAGGGGGGGGTTAGCGAACCAGCTCATGTAGCTGGTTTTCCTGGCACCTCCTCGCGCCAATGTATCGAGGAAAGGCGCCTGGCGGCGGGGCCGACACCGGCTGGACACAGCAGATTTCGTATCCCCTCCCTGCTCCTAGCCTCCCGCCGCTTTCGTCCGACCCGAGCTCAGATGGAATGGCGAGGTGAAACGCGGGTGGCCTGATCGACAAGTGGTCTGGGCACCCTGGGCGGAGACGGCGTTCCCGAGGCCGGCGTGGACGCCGCTGACTGGGGGTCTCACGCCAGACCGGGGAGGTGGAGGAGCAGGAGTGGGCTGAGCAGCAGGAGCAAGAGGCATAGGGAGGGAGCAGGGAGCGGGCGGGATGAAGAGAGTACCTGGATTTCGGGCGCATTGTCTGTTACGATCCCGCCGTCTTTCAGAAACTTCGGCCTCGGAGAAGCTCGGAGAAGCTGCCCCCTGGGAAGGGGTCGAGTCCTCTGGGTTTCGCAGGTACGAGACGCAATCCTTCGGAAGTCTGGGGGTGGAGGGATGATGGCGCAGCGAGGGCGGGAGGGAGCCACGCCTGGCCCCCTGAAGGAGCGAGGTCCCTCTCGCGCAGGAAGCCCCCGAGGGCATGCAGAGGCACCGCGCCCCAGCAGAGGAGGGCACGAGTGAAACGTCTGGACGGATCTCTGCGCAAGCACTCTGGCATCTGGATTCCCCCGCCCCTCCTAGAAGACTAGAAGACCTCCAGACTACATCAGAAGAACAGCCAACCTCATCCACAGCATTTCTCGGAGGTCCGCGAGCAGCTCAGATACGTTATGTTTCATGCAGCTTTTTGTTATCCGGTACATGCAGCATGCATGTCGGAGCCGTGCAGATTTCTTGGATGGGTCCTGGACCCACCTCCTCTCGGCTATACGCAAGAGTGACCCTGGGTAAGAGCGACCTCTGGTGCGCGGCTTTCTGAGGGCCGCGGGGAGACCAAACCTGGGCGCGCAAGCCGCTGCTACCGCCTCGTTTTCAGCCATCTGAGGGCCCATCTGAGGAGGAGGAGGAGGAGGAGGAGGAGGAGGAGGAGGAGGAGGAGGACGAGGAGGAGGAGGAGGAGGAGGAGTGTGCCCGCACCAGAGGTCACTCCGGCGAAAGGTCACTCTTGCGTCTAGTCGATCCTCACGCCTCCCTCCTGGCGCGCGGGGCGCGCCAGGGGAGCGGCGCTTGCCGGCGCCGACCACGCGAAGTCTGCACGGCCTCTCAGACATGGCCCGTCAGTCTTCGCCTTCTCTGAAGGGGCCCTGGGACACACATATAAACACACACGCAGATAACAGGATTTTCCCATAACTATTTTTTCATAGTTTCTGGGTTTGGGTCTTCCCCCCACTTCCCCTACTTTCCCGTATTTTCTGGGGAGTCGACGATCAATTGTGTCTGTGTGTTTATTTCCCTCCTGATTCTTCGGGGCGTCTGGGCGCCGACCATTGGCTCTGGGGGCCATCAGCGAACGACTCAGGATTCATGGATGCCGCCCAAATGGAGTCTAAGCAGATAGGATCGGGGGACTGCGCCGCATCGCCGATGCATCAGCGGTGCATCGGCGATGCATCGGCGACGTCGGCGATGCATTGGCGACGCCAGCGTGGAGAAAATCGGGCTCCACATCGAGCCGCATCGCCGATGCATCCGCGGTGCGGCGCGAGCCACCGACCCCATATACTCCGGCCCCAGTTGGGCGGTCCTGGAATGGAATACCCCCTCTGGGGAAGGGGTCGGGAGGTCCTGCGTCCCACTCAGCGACCACATCGAGCCGCCAGATGTCCTGGGCACGCCTCCCGCCGCCGGGGGACTCCCCGGCAGGAGCGCAGGTCGAGCCTCCGCGCTGCATCAGAGCGAATTGGTCGGCCACTTGCCGGGACTGCGAGGATCGCAGCACTACGCCGGCAAGGGGGGCATCTCGACGCCGCCGCTCTCGCGTGCCTGGTCGAGCTCGCTGCCCATCACCTGGATCACCTTCTTTAGTCTCGCCACCTCCTGGCTGTCCTGATTCTTCTCCACTTTGTTGGTGATCATTTTGGCACGGGTGGCGTACCCAAGTGCGGCAGCCGTCTCGTCGGCGTTGCTGCCGACCGGAGAGCAGTTCACGAACATCAGTGTCTTGGCGTTGCCGCCCAGCGAATCGCTTAGGAGCTGCGTCAGCTTGTGGTTTCTGTACGGCACGTGTTTTGAATGTTTGGTGAGCGCCTCTATCACGTCCCCGAGTGCGGAGAGCGATTTGTTGATGGACTGCGCTTCCTTCAACACTTCCCCAGACGCCTCGCTCTTCTTGACCCGCTCTGACCCGGCAAGGTCACACAGGGTAAGCTTTCCAGTCGACACCTGCTTGGTAGCCTTGTTAGTTGTCTCGACCACGATGATGAATATCAAGTGCGACCTGGAGGAAGCGGAATTCATGCTCGTGGCGGCCACGTGGCGGTCGGCCATGCCGTCCTCGATTGCTTTCAACAACTCCGGGGGGTTGGCCACCTCAAGGTCAATTGGGGCGGAGGAGTAAGATGAGGAGGGTACGAGGAAGAAGGGGAGGAGGGAATTGTCCTCCTCACGGCCACCTCACGGTCTGAAGCGTTCTCCACATACACGGAGCCACGAGTGTCCTTCTTGATCTCCAGCCCCCGTGCTCCAGCCTTGGTCCGGTAGAGGTCCACCAACTCGTCGCGGTAGAGCTCGAACATGGAACACTTCACGCGAGAATGAGATTCGTGAGAATACTTATCGATTATGCTGAAGAGCTCCCCCGCTAACCTCTGGTCAACGCCAATGGGGGGTACCACTAATTACGAATGTCGCCACTTGCCCGAGGAGGAGAAAGAGGAGGAGGAGGAGGAAGACCGCTCAGGACCGTCCCTGTCCATACCCTGCCCAAAACGCTTACAATCGTCGAGCAAACCTCCTCGATGCCCGATGCTCGAACCTGGATCCTCGGGAGGAGCTGGCGACCCCGCTTGCCACTGCCCTGCTCCTGGGCACGAGTCCAGGGTCGGCGTCGTTCCCGTACATCGTGTGCGTCTTGCCCGCGCCAGTCTGCCCGTACGCGAACACTGTGACGTTGAAGCCGTCGAAGGCGGAGGATACGAGGCTCTTGCACTCGGAGAAGACGTCTTCCTGCGTGCTGTGCTCGTCAAAGACGGAGTCGAACGAATATGGCCTGGATTCCTTCAGCCGCTTCGGGTCCTCCAGCTCCAGTGAGTCGGTGTCCAACTTCCGGCAAACCACCGCGTCGCCCATCTCCCGCTTGATGCGCGGTCTGATGCGGGCGTAGACCCGGATCGCGCCCTTGAAGTCCTGCAGCTGGTTGTGGTACCGCTTCCTCAAGGCTTGCTCCCGGTTCTGGGACTGCCGCAGCGCCTCGATCTTCTGCTCGAGGGGGCGCAGCATGCGGTCGGCGAACTCTGCGCGCTCGCGGCAGCCGTCCAGCTCTTTCAGGCTGGCGTTTGCGTCGACGATGTCCTGCTCCAGCTTCCTCGCGTACATCTCGAGCTCCGCCACCCTCCCCTCGTCGGGCGGCGCGCACAACGGGCGGCGGGGCGAGGGAGGGCGGCCCAGTGAGAAGATTCGAGGGCCTCTCGAACAGAAGCCCTCCTGCCTTTCAAGATGGCCTCTCGAAGCCTCCAATCAGGCCTCCAATCAACGCCTCCAATCAGAGCGATAGATCGACACATACAGATCCACACATAGGGAGACAGAGAGAGAGGGAGAGAACCCAGAAAGAGAGAGAGAGAGAAAGAGAGCGAGAGAGAGAGATAGAGAGAGAGAGAGAAAGAGAGAGAGAGTGAGAACAAGAGAAATAGAGAAAGAGAGAGGGAGCGACAGAGGAACAACAAATCAGCCACTGTGCCGCTGGGCACGGAGCGGGTGTGTCTTCAGGTCCTGGACCCAATTCTCTAAGCCTCAATCCTCACTCCTGAGGAGTCTTTGATGTGGCCCGAAATTACGGCGGAACCTCTTAGAGCTTCTCGGGTACCCCCTGGGGATTCCCGCGTGCCCCCTGGGCTTTGCCAGGTGATGGCGCGTCCAATTTCCGGGCCCGGGGGGCTCCGGGACGGGCTGGGAGGGCCTCAAGCGGCCTCCAAGACAGCCCAAGAGGGCCAAAGACTGGGCCAAGACGCCCAAGATGGCATCAAGATAGCCCTCAAGAGGGCTCCAAGACGCCCCAAGAGGCCTCCCAAGAGGGCCTCAAGAGGTACACATGCAAAATTTGCCGTAGGTGTTTGAGCGATTTGATTTGGGCGGTATCTCGCCTTTTCAGCTTTCCGACGCTCCAGTCGGCCCAAGAGGCCCCCAAGACCACCCCAAACCGACCCAAGAGGCCTCCAAGAGGGCCCCAAGACGGCGTAATGAAGAGCGCCCCAAGATGGTCCAAGAAGCGCCCAAGACGGCCGCGAAAGGGACCCAAGAGAGAGAGAGAGAGAGAGAGAGAGAGACAGAAAACAAACCGAAAATCCGAGCTTTCCGCCCCAAGAGGCCCCCAAGAGGCCCCAAGAGGCATCCAGGAGGACCCACGAGGCCCCCAAGAGGCCCCAAGAGGCCCCCAAGAGGCCCCCAAGAGGCCCCCAAACGGCCCCCTAGAGGCCTCCAAGAGGCCCCCCAAAAGGCCTCCCATGAGATTCCAACGAACATCCAAACGAACATCCAATAGGCTTCATAGCCACAATCCAAGCACGGTGGCGGGATGGGCCGAAGGCCATTATATGTAGAACACAGGAAGAGCGAGAGAGAGAGAGAGAGAGAGAGAGGGATAACAATCACAAGAGAGAGAATGAGAGAGAGAGAGAGAGAGACCGAGAGAGAGAGAGAAGGGGGGGGGCTTACGAGCTTGCCCGCGCGCGCCTGGTGGGACGGGCCGTCAGATCTACCTCCCCCTTCTGAACTCCCACTGCCAACTCGCCCCGCACATCTCCCTTACCCCCCAAACTAACTTTCGCGGCGACCCCGGAGCGGACGCGCGTCCAGGGACGAAGTAAGAACGTTCGGCCCCTGCCCCCCTCTCTAAAGGGGCCCCAGGACACACAAATAAATACACACAAATAAAAAGATTCCCCATCTTTTCTTATATTTTCGGGGTTTCTGTCTTCCCCCCCACTTCCCATATTTTCCTATATTTTCTGGGGAATCGACGATTCATTGTGTCTGTGTGTTTTTTTCCCTGCCCCCCTCTCGGCGGCGCGCCCCGCGGGGAAAAGGCAGGGGGGGGGGGCGGGCCGTCCCAGAACGCTGAAGCTTTTAAAAGCCTTCCCCGAGGACGGCAACAGCTTCTCCAGAGGCCTCCCAGGTGGGGTCCGAGCACACCCTGCGAAATGCTTAAGAAATCATGGGTTAAGAAATTCATAGTCTCATAATCTGATTACAAACCCAGAACTCCTATCAAAATCTTGGGATTTACATTGGAAAGTTAAGAATTATCGAGACTCTGGACGAAAACTTAGGTTTTCTTAAGCATCGCCTAAGGTGTAGGTGGGGTCGGAGGATCACGCCGCACCGCCGACGTCGGGGATTCATCAGAGACGCTGGCGCGGAGCAGATCGGGCTCTACATCGAGCTGCATCGCCGATGCATCGGCGATGCGTCGCGATCTTCCGGCCCCTATCTACGTCGACCCCATCTAGGAGGCCTGGATTCTCAGAAGGCCAACGGGCTGCTGAGAAGCCCCGCCGCCCTCTGAGAAGGCCTGCCCCCTCTCACACTCACACACACACCCATCCACCCACCCACCCGTCCACACCCACACCCACACCCACACCCACACCCACACACACACACACAAACACACACACACAAACACACACACAAACACACACACAGACAAACACACAAACACACGCACGCACGCACGCACGCACGCACGCACGCGCACACACACACACACATCCACGCCCACACACACAAACAAACACACACACAAACACACACACACACACACCGGCGCGCTGCCGACACTCCCTCCAGTCATCCTGCCATCGCTCGGACGTCCATTCCCCGTGCATGGCTCTGTGTCGTGCGTTTGCGTTCTCGCAAGATGATCCCACATGCTCCTCGATGGCCCTCGACGAGGAAAGAATGCACACGTCCGAGCGATGCCAGGTCACTGGCTTGTCGCCCCTCTGCGCGTCGCCGGCCTCGAGAGTGGCCTCCTTCTCCCGCCAGGCGGCCTCCGCGCGCTGGTGCCCGAGCTGGGAGCTCACGTGCTCCTGCCAGGGGCCCCGGCCGCAAGGGGCGAAGCCACGGAACCGGGGCGAGGCGCACCCGCCCATGGGGGGCGAGGTCACGCCGCGGGGCCGAGCCCCGACCCGCCCTTCGACATCCTCGCGTCGTGAAGAAAATCACGACGGACCATGTTTGGCACGTTTCGGCCTCTGGAGGCCATGGCTGGGCCCCAGGACAATCAAGAAACGACTCAGAAGGAAAAACCGGTCTCTGGGAAGCGGGCAAAGAACGACTGAAGATGAAAAGCCGGTCCCTGTGAAGCGGCCCAGGCCTCTGGGGAGCCGCGCTACTCAAAAAACGCGACGTCGGATGCCTGGGACTGTGGAAGGGAGACGGTCAGCGCATGAGGGGGGAGCATGATCAGCAGGACGAGAGGGAAGAGGATGAGGAGGAAGGGGGAGGATGAGGAGACGGCAGGCCTTGCATCTTCCTAGCGCGTGATCAAGAAAGTCAAACAGCATGGCGAGGCAGTTCGCCGGAGTGGCCAGCCAGCCCCTTTTTGGAGAACAGGCCGCACCCATCCATGCAGCTGTTGCAAGAGTGCACACTTCTGAACAGGAGTTCCGAGGACGTCTCACGCGATAACGCCGATGCGAAACAGAGCCGCCCTCCATCCGTGCAGCTGCTTGTATGCTGAAATTTCGGATCTTCATATTGGAGGGCGTCTCTGGCGAGCCGTTGTAACTCTTCCAGGCTTTTGTCACGAATGTGCGCGGTGTCAAGGCGACAGCCCCATTCTGAACATCGGCCGCCCTCCATCCAAGAATCGTAAACGAGTTTACGCAGCGATGAAGGCGAGAGCCCCATTGAAAAAAGGAACCGCCCTCCTTCCTTACAACTGTTGCAAGCTTTTACAAAAAACGTGCCAGGCGGAATGGCAACAGCCCCGTTTTGAACACCGCCTGTGCTCTTTCCTTGCAGCCGCTGCAATGTCTTAAAACGAATGAGTGCGGCTCAAAGGCGTTCGCCCTATTTGGAAAACCTCCTGTGTGCCATCATTGTAAGTGTAGAGATGTTCACAGTTCAGGGTATAAGTGGATGAGGAGGATAACAAGGTGGGAGGAGGAGGAGGAGGAGGAAGGATGAGGAATAGAGAGAAGGCGGGAGGAGGAGCGTGCATGCGGAGGATGGCTCCTCTCGGAGCTGGGTGTGCTGCGAACGGAGCTCCGACAACTGGTTCCACACCTTCTCGTTCTCGACCGCCTTCTGCCGCAAATCGCCGTCTAGCCGCCTCGCGGCGCCGGGTCGCAGGACCGCGCGCCCCCCTGTGCTTGCATCTCTCCTCCCCTTCCTGCAGGTGTTTCCCTCCTCCTGCTTCTCGTCTGCTCGTCTCCTCGTCGCCGTCGTCGTCTTTAGCGTCGTCGTCTCCTCCTCCACTCCTCCTCCTCCTCCTCCTCCTCCTCCTCTTCTTCCTCCCCTTTCTCCTCCTCCTCCTCCTCCTCCTCTTCCTCCTCTCTTTTCTCCTCTAACCTTCAATATCGCCTCCCCTTGCCGTTGCTGCTGCTGTTCCACCTCCTCTCCTCCTCCTCCTCCTCTCCTCCTCCTCCTCCTCCTCCTCCTCCTCCTCCTCCTCCTCCTCCTCCTCCTCCTCCTCCTCCTCCTCCTCTCACCTTCACCTTCGCCTTCACCGTCACCTTTACCTTCACCTTCACATTTACCTACATCTTCACCTTCACCTTCACCTCCACCGTCACCTACACCTTTACCTTCACCCTCACCGTCACCTTCACCTTCACCTCCTGCTGCTGCTGCTGCTGCTGCTGCTGCTGTTGCTGCTCCTCCTCCTCCTCCTCCTCCTCCTCCTCCTCCTCCTCCTCCTCCTCCTCCTTCTCCTCCTCCTCCTCCTCCCCCCCCTTTTCTCCACCTTCCGTTTCCTCCATCCTCCATCGCCTCTTGATCTCATAATTCCTCTTTCCCCCTCCTGTGCCTGTAACCCTGCGTCATCTCTCTCCGCCCCAGCCCCGCCAAGACAAGGACGGGGAGCGGGGAGCAGAAGGGGAACAACAACGCAAACGGGGGAGAGCCAAACATCAAAACGGGCAGAAGGGGGGCGGAAGAAGAACATGTTTTCACCGGCCAAGTGGGACCCTTCACCGGCTGACAGTCTGGCCGGGTGACCGGACGCACTCGACTCGCTGGTGCGCGCGCGCTCGTTCACTGTAGGATTCTGTAAGATCCCCATGGAGGCTCGATAGAAGGCTGGATTCCTGGGAGAACGTAGGACTCGATAGGAGGCTGAATCCCTGTTCCTCCTCCGAGCCTTGTAATCGCCCATGTGGTCCCCATCGCCTTCCCTATGTCCCTCGCTCTGTCCGTCCTCATCCTCGCAATCCTTTTCATCCCCTCGTGGTCCTCCTGATTGTACTGGTCGTCATCCTCCTCCTGGTGCTCATCATCGTCCTCCTCCTGGGCCTCTTCTCCATCACCTTCATCATACTCCTCGTCCACCTCATCGCACTCCCTTGCCAATTTCCACCTCCGACGTCGTGAATATGTCTGTGTAAGAAGACTGTTTACCGGAACGGACCCCGGACCAGCAGGTTCTTGCACCGTCGGCGTGCGCTCTATGTTGCCAACGGCGTGAGCTCTACGTTGTGCACTGGTGCAGCCCATTTATGTGGCGCAGTCCATTGTAGGTGATATGTGCGGTGTCGTCGAGCGCCTCGACGTCGAGCTCGCTGCCATCCTGGACAGGAGCCCACTGGGCATGCGATTCCTCGTCGACCTAGGTGCGTTCGTCGGCGCAGTCGTCCCAGGCCGCGTCGCCCCAGCCGAGCTCTGGCGCATGGCCGAACGCGTAGTATCCGCAGGGGCTCAGCTCCTCAGGGTAATGCTCCTCTTGGTCGTACCATCCTTTATCAGCAGTGTAAAAGGCGCGCTGTGGCCTGGAGAAGCGCACCTTGTCCTTGCCCTTGCCCCTGTTCTGGTAGTTGGGTCTGGGCTGCGTCCACGCCGAAGAGCTGGAGCCTTTACCAGACTCGCCCTCGCCCTTTTGGCGGATGTGTATGCGGCCGAGCTGGAGGATCAAGGCGTCCTCGATATTGTCGAAGGTTGCCACATTCCCTGTGGATGTCAACACCATCAGGTTCTCCGAAGGCGAGGGGCCTGCATGGTCCAGGGAGAGGGGAGCCAAGCATATCGTTGCTCATCAAGATCTTAATATCTAACTTGGAGACAAGTTTCCACCAGCGCTTCCTTCGGGCGATGAATGAGACCATAGACTCACCGTACTGCCGAGACAGCGGCCCAGATGGTCTGCGCCCCACCTGGAACAGGATCTTCGCTTCCTGCGCCTCTATGGGGAAAAGTGAAGTGCGAATCGCCAGCGCCAGCTGATCGATCCCATTCGGAGCCAGAAGCACGTCCTCACCGATATCCCTGGCAATATCGAATGCGTCACCTCTGAAGCCTTCTACAACCTTGTTGATAGCTGCGGTGGTCACGCGCTGCTGTGGCGCACCCGTCTCTTGATCTACTGAGGCCAAGGCGGCGCTCATGCGCATCTCTGTGCGGAATTCCCACTCGTGAAAGTTGTTCGCCGTGCCGTCGTAGATGTAGGAGCCATTCTTCGTCTCGGACCGCGTCAGCGCGTCGGCGCTCGGCCGATAGCGAAGAGAAGAAAGTGCTGTGGCGCAAGGCTCAGTCCCCTAGCGAGGGACACAGCACAGACAGTGAAGAGAGGTAGTGCGACACTCTCTGGCGAGACGTGCGCGCAGTGATACGATGCGGGGATCGTGTGGTAGCTCCGCTACCAGTGTGACTATGATGCGTTTTAGCGCAATGGCAAGAAGGGGGCCCTCGAGGTCAAACGGCGGCGAGTGGCGCATATACATACGTGACACATGCACTATCTCACACGTCTTGTCCACCTCCAGTAAGAGCTTGGACTGCTCGGCCATCGAAGCCATCATCCAAGCCGATGCCGTCCTTTTCGCGCCAGCGGGGTGGGTCGCCCCGGGGGCCGCGACGGCCTCCGCGACGGCCGGGGGCGGCTCGGCCGTCGGCTGAGGGGCAAGGGCTGCCTGGCCGTCCACGCCCAGGGATGAAGCCTCGACCATCTCCCGCGTGACCAGTTTGACCGAAATCCCGTTCTGGGCCGTGGGCCCCGACGAGCCATTTCGAAGAGAAGCGCCGAAGGAGGCGGCGCGCCAGGTCGCCTCCCTATCCCGGGAGGCACTCCCGCCGACGCCGACTCCAAGGGGGCCGAGGCGGCAGCGCGCGGGAAGCCCGCGGCAAGCGGCGCCGGCGCGGGGCTGCGCCGAGGCGGCGGCTGCCCCGAGGCGATCCGAGTCGGCCGGCCCAAGTGCTGGGGCGGCAACGGCAGAGCCCGCAAGCCTGGCGGGCCCGCCAGAGCCTGCGCACCGAGATCGGGGGCGAAGTCGACCGCGAACGCGCCTGCACCCGCGTCGAGCCCGCTCGCCGACGGCGCGGGCGCGGGGAGGCCGGCCTCGACCCTGATCATCCGCTCGGTCGAGGGCCGTCATCGAAGACTCGACCCCTGTCAGGCGCTCCACCACGAGCGCGTACAAGTCCGCGATTCGTTTGGGGCGGCGCGCTTGCCTGCGCCTCGGCGCCCTGGCTCACGGCGGGCGCCCGCCGTGCGGCGGCGCCCTTGCCTGCCGCGGGCGCGGCCTCTGCCGCGGCGCGGCCGCCATGCTTCAGCCTCGGCGCCGCGATGGGCCATGCGGCCCCAGCCCCTCCGACTCGGGCTCGGCGAGCGGGCGCTGGAGAGGCTCGAAACCCGCCCACGGGCAGTCAAGGAGACCACCGGCCAGCGCGTCGTTCAGCTCGACGGGGCCCGCGGTGGGTCCGTCGGCGGGGGCGCGCCCTCGGGGAGGGCCTGGCCATCGGGCGGGGCCTCGACGGCGCCCGGGCGCACGGCAGGGCGCCCAGCCCCCCAGCCGCGGGCCAGCGGCCGTCGCCCGTCCTGGCGGCGCCTGCAAAAGGCAGCAAGGCCGCGCCGCCACTGGGCGCGACGCGGAGGAGCACCCGCGTCACCTGGACCCCGTCCTCCGCCGGCCGCCCAGGTGGCAGGGTCCGCCAGCGGGCGCAGACGCGGCGTCAGTCACGGGCGCGCATCAGCTGGGAGCGCGAGCACGAGAGCGCCGCCGAAGGAGACTGGCACCACTGGGACCAGTTGGCCCCGGAGCGGCATCTCGAGGCGAGTAGAAAGCCCTCCATGACCGCCGCGGAGGCAAGCTCTCAGTCGTGCTGCTCCGCGTCGTTCATTGCCTCGCCGTCGGCCTCTCCGAGGGTGGCCGCCGCCGCTCGGCCCGCCATCGCAGGAAGCGCACATGGATCTCACAGACCCCGCGCGCGTCGCGGCACTGCGATGGATACTGGGAGTCGACGCGCTCCAGCGCTTCCTCCAGGGTGAGGAAGCCGTGCGGGGTGGTACCGTGGCGGAGCCACGACCCTCCGAGCTCGGAAACCGCGGGCTCGGCCCTGGCTGCCACTCAAGGCGAACCGCCGAGCTGAGCGAGCAACGCGTAATAGCGCTTCCCGCTGGAAGAGGCCGGGGGCTGCAGGCCTTCGACCTGGCGCGAGCCCGCCCTGTCACGGGCGGCCTCGCCTCGCCAGCGACCGACTTGCCGCTGCGCCCCAGACTGGGGCGGTGCCGCGGCTGGAGGCGCGCCCCCTGCCGCGGTCACGAAGGCCGACGCTTCGCTGGAGTGGTCACGAGCCACGCCACGCGGAAGCGAGGCCTCAGAGCCCGACCCGGGCTACCCCCCCGGGGGCACGCGTCGGCAGCGCCCGCAGGCGCAAGGGCGGCCTCGGGCGCTCGGTCACCGGGGAGGGGGGGCCTACCTGCACGTGCAAATGCACGGAGGAGGAAGTGGCCGCCGCCGCCGACGGGTCGCTGGAGGTGCTTCGCATGGAACACCTACGCGACCGGGCAGCGCGGGTGGCTGGGCGCACCGTCCCCCCATGAGCCGAGAGACTGAAGAGCGGTGCTTGCGGGAGGATCGATTCGCATGATGCTGCTGCTGCTGATGATGATGGTGGTGGTGATGATGATGGTGATGATGATGATGCTGATGATGATGCTGATGATGATGATGATGCTGCTGCTGATGATGATGATGATGGTGGTGGTGATGATGATGATGATGATGATGATGATGATGATGATGATGATGATGATGATGCTGCTGCTGATGATGGTGGTGGTGATGATGATGATGATGATAATGCTGATTGACGATGATGATGATGATGGTGATGGTGATG